GGGAAGTTTACAGTCTGACAACTAGAACTGAAAGCCACCAGACTAATCACTAACTAAAACTTGTATTAAATAAAAATCAGACTATGGCATAGGTAGTCACTTAGACTGTACTGTGCATCAAGGAACAGGGGAGAAGACGCCTCTCTGGGTCCAAAACCTCTTGGTCTTTTACTCAGATCTGGCTGGGTATCAGAATCAGGAGTCTGAAAGCTGTCTTTTCCTTTATTTAAAGATTTCCTTTGACTCTTCCATGTTTGTTTTGGTAAGTTTAGGAAACAATGTAAATTTTTGATACATATATGTATATATCTTTAGGATTTCCTAGCGATAAATTGAGTATATGTCAGGTTTTAACTAGATTGATCCAGTCTCTCAGATCTGCAAGGCATCAGTGTGGTTATGGTCCATGCAGGCATTAAGACTTGAGTCTACTGAGACTTGGTAAATCTAGTTTGAAGTGCATCACAGGACTGTGCATTGTTTGCTTACATCATTTGATGTAAAATAATTTCAATAGAAATGCTGAAGTCAGAAAGAACCATTTGCATAGTGGGAAGAAGAGCAAAAGGCACAAACCAAAACTGAAACAAAGAATGTGTCACATTTCTCATACTGAGTGTCTGAACTTAGAGGATAGTGTCTGACCATTATTGATATGATGCTCCCATCATTTTGCACTCCTTTTTAAATACAAAGGTTTATAATGATCCAGTTTTCCAAACTGTGAGTAATCAGATAGATATTCTAAGGAATCACACCAAGCAAAATCAAACTGTCGTAAAGTTCACGTGTGGCACTAATTGCAATTTAACTGCATGGTTATTACAAGAGCTTTTAATTAACTCAGTCATCATACTGTGGCATACAAATCGTGCATAATAGCAGCATGCTGACTATAATGACAATAGGTTTGTCTGAACTGTGAAAATCAGGAGTTTTATAATTTTCTGAGGTTTCTTTTTATGCCCTTAAATGTTGTGTGGTATTTAAGAACATTTCAAAAAAGAGGAAAAAAAAGAAAGAAAAAATCCCAGCAAGTTTCTGAGGCTTGCCTGTTTTAAAATTTTGTGGAAGTCTTTTATTCTTCCTGAAATTCAGTAGGAGGTATCTCAATGAACTGTTTTTCTGATGATTTTTCAGTTTCACTTTTTTTTTTTCATCCCCTTTGAGGATCATTTTACACACTGTTTTTGAACACAAGAAGAATGCTGTTTGTGGAAACATTCAGAGGAAATCCCATTCCAGTGAAGCTGAAAGACAGTAAGAATACATTCTGATGAGATACTGCTGCAAAATGGTCATTTATTAGTTCAGGAGGGTAGTGAGAGCATTGCTCTTCTCTCAAAGTTACGATTCCAGTCTCTCAAGACTGGCAGTGATAGCACTGAATGATTTCTCAATTGGAAGGTTAACTTTGCATTCCAAAGACTAAGAATTAAGAAACAATATAGCTAATGGATATAGTTGCAGTCCGTCAGAAAATGCAAGAAATACAATTAGGTGGTGTTAGGCTCACCACATGTACTTCTTCCTGTAGATATAAAGAATGCGTTAAAAATTAATACAAAGCAGACATTATTATGGAAGCTGTATTTATCTGGTTTTTAGAGTTTCACCAGCCCTGTACTGGGAAATGAAATACTGGCATATTTGAGTTATAAATTATTTGGCTCACAGACAGAACAAGCACCTGAAGGCAAGACAACAGTACATGACATTTGCATGTGCACAAGTTTACTGCAGAAGCCAGGTGATAGATAATGAAGACTGGGCTAGTGAGGGAGGCAAAAGTAAATTTTCATGCACATAAAGTTAATGACATAAAAGTGACAGACACTACAGAACAGTTAAAAATCCCCAGGCTGGGTTCAGCTGGGTGAGCAAAATGAGCATGATGTACCAAACACAGAAAGAAGAACCAACACTGCACAAAGCCAGTGGTCCCAGAGGTTTAAATATCACAGATATGAGAAAGGTAACAGAGATGCTGACATCACCACTGTAAAATGCTGAAGTAGCTCGTCCTTCAGAATCTGTGTCTGAAAAAATGACTGCTAAAGAGCTGATTTTGTACTGCTGCTGTGATCAACACAGCTGATTTCTCAGTAGTATGATTACTGTCACGCATATCTTTGTGAGAATGGCAGAGGTGTATGTGGTGCTTTTTTGTAATGGTTTTTATTAGAATTTTCAGAATTTCCCAACACTGGGGAAAAAATCAGTTCTTAAAAAGACATTTCAGATAATTACTGGTTTTTATTTTATTTTTATATTTAAAGTTTACCTAGCATTAATTTTTAAGAAAGTTTTTGTATTGGAAACTAATGTTTGTATTTACATGTATCAGTGAATGCAAATTTCCAAGTATTGCAAATGCATTTCTTGAGACATTGACTCAAAGTGAACAGAGGAAGGCTGTTAGACAGTATTTTGAAACAACTGTTTATGTACAGCACATATAAAACAAGTACCATCCATATTCCAAGTCACTATGACCTCAAAAAAATTAATTTTTGTTAATTTTAATCAGATAAAAATATGATGAGACTTTATTGCACATTCAAGAAATACGGATAGATGTGGATTCTCTTGTTTTCCTAGTGAACATGAATATGTGTATGAGTTTTTTTCAGTTTATTATAGGTGGAACCAATTTTTTTTTTTTCCCTTTTTTTCCCTTGAAGGACTGGTAGTCATCTGCTCAGGGGCTCCATTAGCCAGCAAGTCATTTCCACCCTGTTTCTCCTCTCCCCACAGGCTCTCACCCTGCAGTCAGGCTCTGCAAGTGCCTGGACAGCAAAGGTGCCTTGTTCATATGTGCAAGGCACCTGAGACCTACAACACCCTATACACCTGACCCAGGCCTGTCCTGAGACAGAGCCTGCTTCCCAAACATCTGGATCTGACTCTCACTCTCTTATTTTTATTCTTGGTAAAACAAAGAGTAGCAGAAGAGTGTATGGGAAACTGGAACTGAGGCTGCTTGAACAATCAGTTGCTTTGTCATAAAAGCTGATCATAAGCATAATGCTCCCTGTGTCACATCAGTGAGCATAAAAGAATATGATAAAAGTGAGACAAGTAAAATGATGGAAACATTTTGTGTCTCTGGTATATAAATCTCCATTATATTTGCATAGAGTGGCTGATGGGATATGCTGCTGCAGAGGCTGGAACTGAAGGAACAAACTTGCATAAGGATGCATGAAGCGTAGAAAAAGTGTAGAAACTTAGAAGGGGGGAAATGGGGAGTCCAGTTAAGCTGGTGGAATATGACTTAATATGTTCTGAAGAAGTAATGGGGGCAATAGTATGAGGGAGGTTTGAAACTGAGTTTGAGGACAAGAAGGAATGTGGTAAGATGCTGTCCAAGGAATCACTGCCTCTAAGAAGAAACAGTGAAATGAATGCCTCAAGTGATGTTCAAAGTGTAATCCCTTAAAGGACATTAGTCATATGTCCAGAGATCATTGTCTTGCAGGTAAATTCCTGTGTTTCATTTGAAGGGGGACTAAAGTATAACTTGGCTGCCTGAGTTGTGACTTGTGAACCACGGCCTAAAAGGACTATTCATTTTCAACTTTACCTTCAATTTCAAATCATAAGGTGAACACTATTTCTTATGTAGTAATAATGCTGATTATGTCTTCTTTTCTCTGCCCTAAGCAAGTGCATTCAATGAGTCTTTCATTATCACCACATACAACATGCTTGACAGAAAACTCATTAAAATTAGGTGTGTTTATTCTATTTTAAATTTTAAATGTATTTCTTAACTAGCTCTAAAGGAGTTCTTGCTTGGAAAGATAGTCCCTACAACTTGCACTTCTTTCTTTAGTGCATGATGATAACTTGAAAATGAGATTTATTTGCTGTCTCTGTTCTTAAATGTGGGGATATAAAAAGCAATAGGAAACAGTAATTCTTGTTGTGTAGCATACATGCTCTTTCCTTCACATGGTAGCATTTTGAATATGTTTCTGCTTCAAAATTGGATGCCTGCCTTAGATGCCACATTGATCTCCTGTCTTCCTTTTTCTGTCTGAAAGTTGACTCCCTACTGACTACCAAGTTTTCATAAATCACATACAGTATTAGTTTTTCACCAGTGCTTGCTTACACAAATGCATGCTGTTCAGTCTGCTTAATATATCTTGTCAGATGTGATTACAAGCATAACTATCTCTTATTTAATAAATGTGTGTATATATATATATATATATATATATATATATATATATATATTCCTAATTATTTTTATTCAATGACTAGGAAGAGTAATGAGCTAAGAATGTGGATTGATATCCTATGTCATACAAAATGCTCAGTATCACATTTTACGAAGAAAATGAGATTTCATGTGAATTTTTATCTATTGACATCTAGATCAGAAAGCCAGACATAAAATTCCTTGATATTTTCAACATCTGTGTTCCAATATCATTAAACTTACATCTTGGGTCGTTACCGTAACATCTTTCATGTTGTAATGCAAGTTTCCACCATGCTGTTTACTATATCTTTGTGTAACTGGGCTGAACATACCATAATAATTCATCAACCCTGAAAGAAGGCACAAAGTTCAATGCATATTATAAATGTGATTGGGATACATTACAGAAGAAATGGAAATATGCGGCTGTTCACAACACATCATATTCTCTGAGGTTACCGATACTGTCTATATAAAAAAAAATATTACTTCCTTATGGGTAAGAAAAAAAAAGCCACAATCAATAAAATACGTGGTGATTTTCTTCTACACTTGGTATGCCTTAAAAAGGGATGCTTTTACTGTTTTTTTTTTCTACTGTAAAATGACTAATTATGTGTTTGCTGCATTCATTATGGATACAGTATTACATAGTATGATAATTATGCTCTTCATCTTTCTTTCTTTCTTTCTTGTTAAAATGTAGTGAAACTGAATTGAGAGATGCATAACAATTGTTGCTTACATGTGTTCTTTCCTTCTTCTTTTGGCTTTTTTTTTCTTTTAGGTGAATAAGATATGTGGTCCTCCTGTAAGGAAGCCTAAACAGTCTCCAGGTTGCTCCTTTGATCAGAACAAAGATAATCAAGGCTTGAAGATGTTCTCCAGAGACAGTGAAGAAACACTCGCCAACAGAAGAAAGTAAGACATTAGTTTTACAGCCAGAAAGAAAGAATAAAGTAAGCCATTAATTTTACAAGGGAGTAGATTATGCTCAATGCAATGGCATGCATTACTAGAGAATAAAGTCTCCAAAGGAAGAAACATTTTAGCAACACAGTCTACTCTGTTACATGTTGGAGAGGGTAATTTCATGGCTAGATTTTGTTTTCAGAAGTAATGGACATAAAACCATGGTCATTTGATGTGGTTTAAAATATTTAGGAGGGTGGATAACATTGATAGAATGAGTGTTAGCGCTATGTGTAATTTTTTGAATTACATTTAACTTTACATATCAGCAGGCATTATTAAATCTGACAAAAAGTGACTGTAGCTTTTTACAGAAAACTGTTTGTACAAGCTGATAAGACAAAAAATTAATTACTTTTCTTACGTACCTTTCTTCTATAAAGAAAGAGACAAGTAAGCATTTGGGACTAAATCTTGAAAGCCTTGTTCAAGCAAGAGCTGATGAATTTTTTTCTCTGGCTCTTTTGCTGGTATTATGAATTGAAGTGACTGCAGAGGCCTGGAGATTTAATTTAAACCTGGCTCAGCATTGCAGGGTGAACTTTGTGTAACTGTGTGAGTTAGATGTTTGAGCTGCCATTACACTCTCTGGAGAGGAGAACTGCCCACACATCCGCAAACATCCAGTGCCACTCAGAAATACCCTGGGGTATCCCAATGGATTTTCTCCTGCCGAGAAGGATGCAGGTGTCCCATAAGTTGTATCACAGAGTTCAAGCCTGACAGAGCTGAAGAAGTGTTTGGAACGTACTCTCAGAGACATGATGAGACTGTTGAGGATGGTCCTGTGCAGGGCTAAGAGTTGGACTTGAAGATCCTTGTGAGTCTCTTCCAAATCAGCAGATTCTGTGATTCTGTGATTGCCTCCATCTTTCTGCAGATATTTTAGGTAGTTGAAGGAATCTCAAAGGCCAGTCTATGTTTAGACAAGTTAATGAGGTTTTTAATGACTGTAAGACATTAGGAGTGTTGCAGTTAAGATTAAAGGCTCCATTATGAAAATAAAGCACGAAGTTAAAATCAGAAATTTCATTTCTGTCATAATGTTTGCTAAAATACAGAGGAGTTTTCTTTGTCCTCTTTTTTCCTCTCATTTCACTTTGTAGTGCGGAAGGAAACTGAAGTGAGAGCACTGCAAGGAATAATTGCTCACTCCTGATATCTGGAGAAGAAAAAGTGCCTCTGAGCTTCAAGGCAAACTATTCTCAGTTCAAGGACCTTCAGTTAATAAGTAGTAGAGAAAAAAATCACAATCTAAAATACAAATGCAGAATTTTGAAAACATTTGTGGTAACAGAAAGATATGCAAAAAAGAAGTTTTCTTTAGCCAGCAGGGAAGTTTTTTCAGGGAATACCCATTAAACAGGTGCATGTTTCTCAGTTACATGTAGCTAAGCAGATTCTTGATGTTTTCTGATTGGTAACCCTCTGCAAAACACAATACCATATTCTAAAATCTCACTTAAATCAGGACTGTTCCATGTTTCAAAGCACAGAACACTGGATATTCCTATCTGATATCATCTGCAGTTGCTACCTCTTGGATCACCTCCTTCCTTATTAGTCACAACCACTTTATATTTCACTTTATATTCCCATAGCAACTGTAAGAACCTCACATGTAAGTATGACTTCAGCAAGTGCTTGCAGCTTGCTCTTAATGAAGTGCTCTTCTCTAACTCCACCTTTATTACCTCCTTTGGTGCTTCTGTTTTCCAAATGCATGTCCAGATGGAAGTTTACATTTTAAAGTACATGTTGGGCTGCTGCTACCTGTACTTCTCCTGAAATATTTTTACCATTGGACCTAAGCTGGCATTTTCTGATAGTGTTTAGTACAAGAAGCAGAAGAAATTGCTTTGTTCTTTTGATGCCAAAAAATTGTTAGATGAATTTTAAAAAATCCAAGCAAACCCTTCCATCGCAACATACAAACTTGATAATATGTAATGCTTTTTTTTTCTCCAGACCTTCATACTGCAGATACCTTCTAGTGCAGAGGATGAAATTGTAAAATAAACAAATAAATAAATAAAAGAACATTTCTGAATAAACAGATAAAAAGTGTCTTCAACTTCCACTGACTGTAATTGCACATTTGTGCTCAGCTGCGTATAATTACATGCTATCTGGTCTACAGGATGATCATGTGGAAATTGACATTCATACCATTTGCCCTTCTAACTGCTTTGGTCAGACATCAACAGGGACTAAAATCAGTTATTACTTCTCTATTAAATTTAGTTTTGCCTCAGGATGTATTTGCTAATAAACTGAATGGCCTTTCTGTTAGAATGCAGTTTGTGACAAGATATTATGACAGCTATATTTATTTATTTTTATTTCTTCTTCAGAAGAAATTCCAACTGTTCATTTTGAGAGGTCTCTCTAAACAGTATTTTTCACCCAGAATGTTGACAGAAAGCATAGACAAAATCAAAATCAATCCGCTCAGTGGCATTTGGAGGGAAACTGCAAACCCACTGTGCACACTGGATTAAATTTTGGGTGTGGGGAAATAAAGTATATAACTATTCATGTCTAGAAGAGTGTGCATGAATCATATTTAAAACCTAATGCACATAGGCAATTATATGATGCATAGTCAAAATTGACCCTACACGGTATTTTTCAGACCTGCAATTTTAGAATTAGTAGGGCACTCACATCACATTTAACAGACAGAGTAAATCAAAACCACTGTAGTTTTTCTAAAATCTTTGCCCTATTACATGAAAGAACGTATGGCTTTTTAAATGATGGAGTGTATAAATCACTGATGTTTTATCTGGTTTAATTTGAAGTAAACAATACTGAAAAGTCAAATTCCCTATAGCATTTTAGTCCTATGGTGACTAAATATAGGGAATTGTATATACTATTTCTGTAATTTTTTAACAACTCCAGACACTATAAAAGTTAACATAAAGTGGAGCTTGTTGGGTTACAGGGCAATGAGTACAGTATTTGGTGTGGCTTTTCTTTGTGCCTGCAGGTCATAGATAACTCAGTAATGTGTCATGTTCCATTCCAGAATGAATAAGTATTGTAATTTTTCCCAGTAGGAAAGGGTCTCCCAGGATGAGATTTTCAAAACAAAAATAAACAATTTATATTAAATATCACAATTCTGTTAAGAACATACCAACTAAAAAGTAATTCATTTGTTTTGAATTAAGTACAAAACCTTATCATTACCTCAGGGTATCTTGAAAATTATTTAAAATAACAATACATAATTTATAACCTGCCAGCACAGCACATGGTAGAACTGATACAATCCTTCAGACAGTTATTTAAATCTTTACTAAATACTTAACACCTACATCTAAAACCCATTTTACCTAAATCTTGAGTTGTTTCATAACTTAAAAAAATATTTTTGTAGTATTTGTAAAGATATGTGGGAGACTTCTTGTCAACACTTTTGAAAAACAGGAGACATTCATATGTACTTCTTTTTTTATTTGCTGTTCTTTTTTTGAAACATTTTTTTGTCTGTTTGTCCAGCTATAATATTGCAAACTGTATCACTGCAATGCAAGAAAATTTTAAGTTGAAAGAAAATAGTTCCTGTTCCAAAGCATATGTGAAGCAGGGTTGTTGTTTTGTTTTTTTTTTATTTGATGTAAATTGGGAGTATCAGCTTTGTAAACTAATGAAGCATATCTAAAATAATCAAACTCATCTATTGACAGATCAATTTAAACTATCCTGGAACCACTGGAGTGTAATGGAATAAACACATTCCTTATCTTTTAGAAATGCACAGCAGCAAGACCAGCCTAATGTTGTTGGTTGGCACTGACAATTACTTCTCGTGTTCCCATGTGCAGAGAATTTATCAGCCACCTCCGTCTCTACAGAACCTTTTACGGCAGCCTGGCGGATCAGCTGTGCGGGAATGAGCTGGCAGCTGCCGATGGACTCCCGTGTTGGAATGGAGAAGATGTCGTAAGAAGGTAGCTTTCTGCCTCACTTTTGTCTTTTTTCTCTTGCAAGTCACGTTTTGCTAAAACAGCTTCTAGTCGAGTCGGGTAAGGTGTTTCCCTGTGTGTGTCTCAAGATTAGTTTGAAAAATAAATAAATAAGCACGAGTTCCCTTCTCTCAGGCGTCACCTCTACACAGTCAAGAAAATCTCCCTGCGTCTCTGTTTAGGAAAAAGAAAAAAAAATTCCAATGTTCTTCAGACATTTTTCCTTCAAATTTGCAACACCTAAACATGCGCTGGAAAAGAAGCTTGATTGGCATTTACAAAATACAGTTGGACAAAAAGAATATGTATTTTTGTTTGAGTTGGTCTTCATAAAGTGCTCCTTTTAATGCAGTGTGTGGTAATGGACTCAAGCTTAAAACCTTCTCTGGCTGTGAAGTATGAAATAATCTCTTAATATATATATATGTTTTCCCATGAGAGAATTGGAAGTTAAACGTGAAGATAAAACATTTTAAAAGTGAAACACATATTTTTTTAATATATGCAGCAACTTGGGAGACATCATTCAGCAGCAGTGGCAAAGAAGAGATAATAAACTGCTACAGTCCTAGATGAGTGTCTGTGGAGTCGATATATTACACAGCTTATAAAACACTAACATTTTTTGATGGCATAAAGATTTTCAGAGAGCTGATCTCTGTTTTTGCTTTATTGCTTTGATCACTAAAACAAGTATTTCTCTGAGCAGGAAATCCTTTTCTTCCTGGTGACAAAGAGCAAAATATTGAAAAGTTCATTGCAGTTAATTGTAATATAAGTCATGATGTTAATGTGGTGTGTATTAGTAGGTAGTATCAATGGTCATGTCAAAGAAGGCTGTGAGGAAAGTTAGTAAAGTGTGAGATAGCAAATAGAGCAGTGGACAATATGCACCTTTAGGTATCTGTAAAAAGTTAGGTAGGAGCTGTCATTTGTTGATTGATACCTAAGGGAACTTAATGGACATCTTTTTAGCAAACAGCTGCAGGCCCACTTTTCTTTATCTTCTTGGGCAGTCCTGTGCTTTGGCAGCACCAAAGTCCAGTGAGTGGTTGATTCCCTTGACAGTCTCACAACCTTTGTCCCAGAATTTCAACAGTCTTCTGAAGATGCCATGTTCCTTCTTTAGGTAACTGTATTTGAGATTTAATCTCAACTGTACCTCCTTGGTTTTGTTTTTCTGACCAATCCCTGGTTCACTTAAAGTATTCCTAGCAAATATTTCAGTAACAATATAAAGTGAGGGTCTTGTAATTATAGATTTCCCAAGAACAAGGTTATTCTATTATTGCTTTTGGCTGCTTATATACTTACTAATAATATATTAGATATTTTCAAACCTATATTATATTATAGTGTAGTATAGTATAGTATTATACTGTATCTATTATTATGTTATATGATTATACTATTACTTTGTTTAGACTATTATACTGTACTGTTTGATTTTGATTGATTAGACACTAAGCTCCTGATAAAACAAACATTCTCTAAATTTTCTAAATTAATAGTGTTCTTTAAAAGTAATTTAATATATATTCTAATAAATATATATACACATATGCTTATATAAATATATAATACAATATATTGCATACAATATACATACAGTATGCTTATTATTGGATCCACCCAAGGATCTAATGGGTGACAAAAGCACTGTATCTTAAAAGAAAGAAATAACACTTTGGTATTAGTTTAACTTAAAAATTTCCTTATCAAAAATATGTTGTCTTTGTATGTATATATAAAGTATGTATATTTTTGTATTTTTGGTCAGCAAATGTCAATGTCATCTTTCTGAAAAAGCTGAGTTGTAGATAATAGAAGTACAGAATGATGATTAAAACCAGAAGATCAGGAAACTCTGAATTGCTCTAGATTATCAAATGGAGATGAGACCTTCAGATTAGTTCCTACATCTCAAGACCTCTGATTGTACACTAAATATATTGTGGTACATAATCTCCTGCTTCAGTATCTTTATGAAGGCACTCAGATCTGTCCTCTTCCACCCCTTCACTTTGCCTTCTTATTCAGTCAAAATGCCCTTTGTTCAATTGTATTTGTTTATGTTCTTTTGTCACTGAAGGGGAAAAAGCTGTCCTTCACTTTGACCAAGATAAGGGTTTTTTTACAACTAGTATTATTATTACAGAAGTGATGACCTAGGGAGAAGTGTCTATTATTGGCTTTTATAATAGCTGGGATGCATAGCAAGCATTTAAAATATATTCTGCTTAAACATTAGCAAGAGTTTTCCAGTGACAAGGACAAAAATCAATAGTTTTGTTGTCCAGCATCTACATAAAGAAGGATTTTGACGAATAGGCTAAGCAGGCACTGAGAAATGATGCAGCCAAAGATGATTTTTCTTAGCGATATGGAGATAAATTGGATAACTTCTTAAAATCTCCTTTATCCCTATGATTCCGAATCTAGGATTATCTAAATCCTGTGTTGCTCAACTTCTATTGTCATGATCCCAGGATACTGTGACATTTTAGAAGCAATAATGACTGAGCATCATTGCTTTTCTCTCTAAATACTGAAGAACCTGTACACTCACTCTCTTTACTCTTTTTTTTCTCTCCTCATCCTGCCTTCTCACTAGCATAATAATATATAACAATAGTATAATAATAAATAACAATATTGATGAACTCATCAGTGCATGTCACCAGTGTTTCTGGCACTGATGGGGAAAAGTCTACATTGTTCAAATTAGTTAAAGACAAATAGATTTTATCTGTTTTGAGATTCTTCATTCTTTCCATCTGTTTTTGCCTTCTGTTTCAAAAACATGTGCCATAGCTAGGTGCTGATGACTGAAATTTGGGCTTGACATGAGAAAACAATATAATGAGCTGTGTGTTGTTGGTGTATCAGGACCCAAGGAGATTGCTTAGACTGCTTGCTGTATCTGTTTCAAGCTGCAAGTAGAAAAAAGCCCTGGAGACAGAAGACATGAATGGGGAAAAAAAAATACTTGCAGTTCTTAATTTTTCTTTTTTGTGCATCTTTCTAAAGGAAGCATTTCAAGGGTTTTAACACTTACAATATTGGATATCAGTTAAATCTTGTAACCTTTGCCTTCTCTAATGCTATCCAAGAGATTATCAAGCCTGGATGGGAAAAGGTCAGAAAATGAAGACGGCTGTTATTGAAACGAGAGCTTACTTAACAGTTTACATTTCATATGCTTCAGCTGTTCCATTTTTGGTTTAAGCCTTTTTTATTTTTTTTTCCCATATCACAATGCCATCGAAATATGGCCCTTGATTCTGCAATTATAGGAATTGTTCTGGATCTAGCATTTTACACAGTAGTCTCATGCCTTCATCAAAACCTCAGAATACCCACGTTCCTGCATTCCGGCCTGACAGGATCAGTAGTGGCCAGGACTTGAGGCAGCAATACCGTTCTCATGAGGTCTGTGTTACTGCAGCATGAGGGACAGGACATCTCAGAGGAATCTTCAGCCTCTCTACTGCTGTCTTACCCAATTGTGTGACTGCAGTGGTCTAGCATCAAATTGAAATTCAAACTTGGCTTTCAAAGCCACAGCCAAGTGTTGTGATGAAGTACCTGGAATTTAGTGTTACAGGATTCATTAGGTTCAATGAAAATGAGGAACTGAAATTAATAAGTTATGCACTACCAAAGCATATGAGTTTGGAATTTCAGTGGCATCTTAGCATTAAAGCTAAAATAACGGGAGCTATGCAAATAGACTGAGATTGTTCCACTTCACAAACATAAAGAGATTTAACTGACATTTATACAGCTTTGGTTGTCCAGAGAGCTGGGCTAGAATGTGAAGAGAAATAAATTAAAAATACACAGAGGAGAGCATAGTATGTCCTGTACTTTTTGAGACCAGAGACTTAACTGAAATAAAAATAGATATGAGTGAAAAAATAGTAATATTTTGTGTGTTGAAGGATTCAGAAGTAATGGAGATTATTGAAAACAGCTAATCAAGTTTTGAAGGAAGTTTCATATAAAGCACATATCTGAAGTATCCAAATTAAGAGAAATTAAACAGCATGATTGATTTTAATTGCTGAGCAAATTGTTAAAAAGTAATTATAATAAGCATCTCTCATCAAATAAATGCTTAGCTTTAGCACAGCTCTTAGGCTGGGGAAATTTTCTCTTTTGATTCTTAAACATTCTGAAACTACTACAGTCTGTTGCTGTTCTTACCCAACAAAAGAAGATAAATGGTGATATAATGGAAATCAATAAATTGGTTTCAGTTTCCTTCTATTTGAACTAATCATCACTTTTAAAATAAGGAAGAATGTAAAATGCCATCAAAGGTACCACTTGACACCTATGCAAAAGATGTGCCTGAGCAACTTAAAATGTAGGAACAGCCCATTATGGCTTTTACTGCTTTGCCTAGTAGGCTGCTGCAAACAAAGGCCAGCAACAGATCATAGAGAAAAAACAACTGTAAGCTTGTACTTCCCCAAAATATGCAAATTTTCAAATTCCTGACCCAGAACTGTGGACATTCAATCTTCCCTTGAACTCAAAAATCTTCACACCACTAGCTTTCCACAAGAGAGACAGAAGTTTTCAGATACCAAAGCACTGAGTCAACATAGAAAAGACATGAACTGGCATAAGATCCCATGGTTTATAATAATTGTGGGATTTGTTTCCTGTTTTGCCATGAGTTATAATAATAGAAGTCATTCCTGCTTTAATATTGGTAATAGCTGTTTTCGGTATATGCTTAGATGAATCTCATCTTGCTTCAGGATGGAATGGATTTAATTACATAAAATCAGCAAAATATGTATTGCATTTGATAACCTCAAAATAAGTGTTCTACTTTTCCTTTTGTTTGCTTGAGTAAATGTATAATTTTCTGTAGTGTTTGCCCTAGAATCATTGCACTTGTTTGTCATGCACAACAGAGGCTCTAATAGAAGGGTTCTGACAGTGGGTGAATTAATTTCTATTAGGCTGGT